ACCCGCGAATTCGGCTCTGAGCCTCTGTTCTTGGCTAGTTAGTGCGGCCTGAATTAACGCCTCTATTTGTGTCGCGTTCATGGTTTCCGCGTTACTTTCTTGTTGTGCCCGTGCTGGTTGATATCTCCGGGTATCTCGGATTAATTCTTCTTCACTGTCACTGTCAAGTTCGTGTTTAGTTTCCCTATATGGGCCTGGAAAACTCATAAGGCGACTAATTTGTTGACACTAAACACACGTTATTAGGAGGCCGAATGTTTTAATTCGACAAATTAATTTTGTATATTATAATTTTATATTAATAACTGGGTGCTTGGCGTCCGAAGGAAAATTTTATTTAGGGACGGCCGATATTAATTCACTTTATTTGTAAGTCACATTTACAATTGCTTTATTCAAACTGTATATTTTTTAATTTTGGGTAAATAGTTTGTAGGGATTTTTATTTATTTTTCCCTGTATGTGTATTTGAAGTTTTACTGTATTAATTTTGATCAGCCCACTTACATATTATTGTGTCGCGGATTCGGTATTAAAGTTGGGTGCCAATTATGTTTTAGTTGTGCAGCCTCGCACTGTCCCTCGCCGCTGTCCGTGAGGGTGAAGAGGTGCGATCCAATTGCCACCGTGGCTGGTCCGGGGGAAGGGGTGAAGACGTAATTGCCACCGTGGCTGGCTGCTCATATGGAGCAATGGCACTCTTCTCTCTTCTTACGAAGACTACGTTGGGAGTAACTGACTCCGTTGCTAACGGCCCTTAAGGCTCGATAACCAATTTCAATTAATAGAGTAAGTGTTGACGGCCACTGCCGGAGTTTTACATTCAAGCCAATGCTCTTTATTAAATGTCCAAATTAAAACTGAAAACATATATGACTTTACGTAAGCTATGCGCGGCCGGCAAGCCGACCGCTCGTGCAGCAAAGTGCTGACACTAGCAAAATCAACATAACTCACCATACCGTGCACCGCCAAGAACCAGGCACGGCCCCTAAAGATGTTTATGCTGATTTTGCAACTAAACACTAGGGTGATCCAATAATCACCGAAGATCTGTATCGACTTATGATTACTCCTTAACAGTGTTAACAGATACAGCACCGAAAATACGGCATGGAAATTGCCCTATTAATCAAAATTTTGAGACTTGAATTACAAAAATTGACTCCGCTCTTACATACAGCAGATATTCAATCTGAAGGATGCATTCTCATACGTGTAGGAGGAAGATTATCAAACGCTTCAATCAGCTTTAATTCAAAGTTCCCAGTATTACTATCGAAGAATCATTGAATAACATGCCTCTTATGGAACACTTACTTGTTGGGCCAAAGGCGCTTGTTGGAATATTGGTTCGTCCCAACTTGCATTGCCAGATCAGTGTCTTAGCAATGCGAAAATGTCAACCTTAACGCAGAATCAACGCGTTACAGCAGCAACACAACAACATTTATGGTATTTGTAACGCGTGGACGACTTAAAAACAGCTGAATTCGTCGGCCGATACACAAAATAGCACCCTTACCAATCCACAACTAAATGTGTCAATATGTGTCAATGAGCTGAGAGTAATATAAGGGTATACATACGTAAGTTAGCTGCTGTCAGTAGCACAAGGGTCAGGAATTCCAAAAGCTGAGCACTGCGAATCGGCTTAGTGCATTTCTGGTGAACTAGTACTGTCCTAACTGCCTAGCCCACGAACATTCGAAAGGCAACTGTCGAAGTGGAGATAGCTGCAAGAAATGAGACCAGGACCACCTCTCCACCTGCATAAGCCATCCGCTTGTCAGCAAATCGTCCATCGCTTGGTTCCTCGACAACCGATCCAACACTTTTCTCGGCTTTCTTGGTGTCCGTAGACACCGGAAGCAAGATGAAAAGGTGTGCACAGCAACGGCGTTCTCAAAATCGAGCGCAATATTCGGATCCGCATACTGATTTAGCCACTCAGCGAAGCTGAACAAACCTTTCCACTCCCCATACCCCATTTCGTTGATCGTTGGAGCTGACGTGTGCTCCAAAGTGATCAAGCTGGGATTTCTTTCCATCGAAAAGCGATTACCGGTCGCCCAGAAAACTATCGAATTTTTTTTTTTTTTTTTTTTTTTTTTTTTGTCTTGCAACGCTAGCGTTTGCAAGGGGGTCGGAATGTTCAGTCCATGAGGAACCACGTCTATTCGCGCTCACCTTCCCTCTCTGATAAAAGAAGAGCTACACGCTCCGAAGTTAAGGTCTCCACAGTTATTTGAAGAGCATTAAAGTAAGCTAGGCTAAATAGTTCTACTACTGTGGGCAAAAATAAGATGAATTTGTTTGTAAAATGAAAATCTTTTAAATAAATTTCATCCCGGTATCGCCATCAGTGCCTTCTTCCATTCAGCTTCTATCTCCGCAATCAACTCAAAACTTGTTCTCCGGAGTGGTATATTGAGTCTAGGAAAAAACCACACGTCACACGGAGCCAAATCAGGCGAATCGGTGGTTGCGGAACGATATGCGTCAAATTTTCAGCGAAATGGTCACGAATAAATTGAGCATGGACTTTCAAAATTGTTTTCACAGATCCTTCTGATATTCCGAGCGTAACAATCAACTGATGGTTTTTGTGCACTAATTCCTTCACTTCATTGACGTTTTGGTCATCTGTTAAAGTCGATGGTCGTCCGGAGCGCTCCAAGTTATGAACACGTTCTCGACCACTTATAATCAGTTTTCTGCGACATGGTAGAAAGACAAAAGTCTTTCTGCAACATTCTCAACGTTTCCACAGCCGATATTTCATTCCGCAAACAAAATTTGATGGCACTTCTCTGCTCAATTAAATCAGACATTGTAAGAATCGAAAAACCCAATCCTGGTCGTTTAGTAAACACAAGCGTAAATATAGTACTGATAATAACAAGGAAATTAAATTAAACCAAGATGTTATTAACAGTCCTGCCAACTCAAGAAAAAAGAACTAGCCCAAATGTTAGGCCCGCGAAGCTTAAATTGAAAATGCACCTTACTTTTTGCCTTACTTTTGCATCAACCCCGAAAGTAAATATACGTGCTGTACGTGATCGTCCGCGTAACTGTTTTTAATATTGAAAATTGCAAGACGTTGTTTTTTTTCCCCTGGGCGTAATTCATTTCGACTTTTCCAGGAAACCGATAGTAAGCCAGGTTTCCTAGTTTCCTAGACAAGTAAAAAGTAATCCATTATTTGTACATGGACTTCAAAGCTTTTTCTTATGGTTAGACATAATCGATTTTTTTCGACTAGGCACAATTTTTCCTCCAACCGATTGTTATTTTGTTGGTAATTTCATGTGGCATACATCGAGCTTTTTTGTTTTTTTAGCAATGTTTAGCTCCTGGGCAATTGATTTACTGCTTGAATGACGGTCAGACTCAACGATTTTCATTTTACAGTTACAGTAATAAGGCTTACATATTCAGCTGCCTGGCTTGCGGTTTCGGCTAGTCGAAGAAAAATTGTAACAAAGTGTTGTGATATCGAACACAAGAAGTTTTTATAGTACTAAAGCTCAACTTTCTAGCGCCACCTACTAAAATTAAATCGGACTAATACATCGCGAGATACAGATCTCTAAAGTCATCTGTTGTTCTAATAATGGATTACATTTTACTTGACCTTATATATAAACCCTTGCAGAGGTTATTATAATTTCGGCTAAAAGTTTGCAATGCAGTGAGGTACACATTTTCGACCCTATAAAGTACATATATTCTTGACCCTTCTATCTGTTCGCCCGTCCGTCTGTCCGTCCGTTTCTACGCAAACTAGTCCCTCAGTTTAAAGCCGTCTGCATGAAACTTTTCCAAAGTTGAAGGAAGTATATAGCTCCCATAGGATAATTCGTGAAAAAAAAGAAAGAAAATGATAATTTTGCTGTTTTTAATTTTAGTTTTTACTTCTTCGATATATAGTAATCGTTTATTATTTCAGAATAAGGGTTTTAATTTATTTAAAGCTCCAATGGGAACAATCGGAACTGTCATTTTAATTTTAGTTTATTGAAAAGTTTTTTTAACGGTACAAGTACAAAACTTAGCTTTTTAGAAACGATAGGTTAAGATTACTTAATAAACATTTTAATTCTCATTTTAGTATAGTTAAAGCTAGGGTCGCAAAGTTTTATTTTATGTCAAATTTAATTCTTGTAATTAGCTTTGTCTTAAGCTGCGTCAAGTTTAAACTTTTTTCCTTTTTTTATATTCTGATTGTTTCCATGGATACTAAATGTAATTTAGGTTGTGATATGGTCTTCAGATTTTAATCAAATTTAAATCATAATTTGAAATAAAACAAACCTTTACTATATATCGAAGAAATAAAAAAAATTGAAAAACAACTAAGTAATAATATTTCATATCTTTTCCCATTTGTTCCTATGGGATATTATATATTCGTCCGATCCGGCTCTTTCTAACTTGCAATATGAAGACAACTTTTGGCAGTAACAGGCAAATAACCTTAACTTAGAGATTAGTCTGCGGACGGACAGATGACCAGACTGAACGCTGTTGAGTTTTTAGCAGCATCAAATGGTAGGTGCAAGAAGCGATTTTTTAGTTTCCCTAGTAAGTGCGAATTGGCATCAAATTATTTAGAAAAAAATATGAATGTGACGACCGAAAAAATGAGCTTATCCAAGTTTATTTAAAATAAAGTTATTTAAATATTTAAAAGCTATATTAACAATGATCTAAAAAAAACACCTTCATAAAATATAAACATCATACATATAAACAAATAAAAAAAATATTAATCACTATGTTTCCCCTAACTCAATATACGTCATCCTGTTTTATAAAACACATTATAACTGTAATTTACATCTATGGAATTTTAGGAATGAGCTTTTTACAGCCAACCTTCCATCACATTCTATTTACAGTAGAAATTCAAGTTTGAAGTAACAGGCCGCTACAATTATATTAAGCACAGACTTGGATGACTTATTGCTGGCTATTATATACTGTCCTCCGTCGTATTCATGGTCTGCTGAGGACTTTTGGCTAGGCTGCAAGTTAAACTTCTGGAGACTGTACACACTTTCTTTTGATGCCGGGGTAACCCAACTGCAATTGATTTTGATATATACAAGGATATTTTGTCAAATTTTTTGATTGACAAGAGCCTAGCTCTGATCACACTTTGCTAAGATCCTTACATGATACTTTTTTGTTGGCCAAGGTTTCTCCCGTTCTGTTCCTTTATAAGTTTTAGAATAACGACTCTGGTTAGGTAAAATCTTGTACTACCGCGATGCTAGATGCATTGGCGTCATCCCTTAAAAAGTGTAATTCTCTACTGAGAAAAGTTTGTCAAGATGCTAAGTCAGTCTTCTTCATTCCCAATATTTTTGAGCTTGATTCAGGGGCAGATCGTGGCTTTGCACTGTGAAAGTGTGTGTGCTCATTGAACGCTCAGAACCTTTTTACCGTAACTTCGGGATGCAGGGAGTACTCCAAAACTTGCAGTAAGGGACAGCTGGCTGCAAAGCTTTGGATCCAGTGGCTGTTCTTCAACTTCTGCAGCGCCAGTGGATGATGATTGCGGAATCATGATGATGATTGCGGAATCGCAACAGATTCCTTCTCTGAAACAGAATTAAAAGGAACTGGGGCACCCAGTTTTAGTACGTTAAGGTGACTAACTCAGCAGTTTTTTGCTACTAAATTGATGACTAAACGCGTTGTACCCTTCAGTGAGTTGTTTTAGTACACCTGCCCTATAAAGTCACTAATCTTCCCTGCAGGACTCACAGGACCGCTTGAGCCCAACCAACAGATCAATGTGAGCTCTAGCTCTGCCAACTAAGCTCGTGCATTGAGAATTCAAGATTATATCGCAGAGCCAGCAGAAAATAAAAATATATATTTTGATGCAGATGGATGCTGACAACAGCCCTTTTATGACCCTTTCCGTGTTCTTTGTGGTAAATATAACAGTCACAGGCTTGTCTTGTTGCTCGGAGTCTCTTCAGCTTATACGTATAATAAATTGTTTACTTTTTCGACATAATAATTTATTTTTTTCTTTTTAATAAGGACAATTTTTCTATAACGTGCAGTTATCCTGTGACGCCTGTATTGAGGTTGTGAACGATATGAAAACTTTCTTGCTATAAACTACAGGGCTCATCAGCTGTTTCGACGTTGCTTGAGAGAGTTTGCGGAGTCCCTAAACTCAAAAAGGCCGCTGGTAGTGGTAGGCAACCAAAGGCCTGCAGCCCATATCAGGCGCACAGCAGAACGCGGCAACCCCGCCAAGGCAGCTATGATTGACAGCTAAAAAGTCTTTCCAGGTAAGTACACAACTTATAGACGACCGTCCTTCTAGACGGGGCGGTGTAGTACTTAGTGCCGTGGACTCCAATCCAACGTCAGAAGAAATATATTTCGAAAAATATAATAATATTGAATTTATTTGCATAACGTTATCGCTCCCTTTATTTTCTATAAAATGCTCTAATATTCTGCCATCGTCTGAAATTTCGGATTATTTTTATCTGCTTTCTAGGAGCTGGTAGTTCTAGGAGATTTTAGCGTACCTGGAGTTACGTGATACACAGAAGAAAAATTGATTGTCCTAGTACCTATAGCACAACATGGCTTTATAAATGAGTTGCTTGACTTATCTTTATCCGAAGTTTAACATGTTTAAAATTCACATAATCGCCTACTAGATCTGTGCTTTGTAACAAATCCTGAAGGCGTATTTCTATCCAGTAGCACCACTTACGCAAGATCCATTTCATCTATTTCATCATCATTGTTTCCCAAGGCAGACTAAGGTTTATTGATTTTGTATCTGGCTTTAATTGGTCCGATCTCTACTCATGCAATTCAATTCCTAATTTCCTTAATATATTTTTATTCTGCAATAAATTTTTAAACCCTTGCAGAGGGTATTATAATTTCAGTCAGAAGTTTGCAACGCAGTGAAGGAGACATCTCCGACCCTATAAAGTATATATATTCTTGATCAGCATCACTAGGCGAGTCGATCTAGCCATGTTTCTACGCAAACTAGTCTCTCAGTTTTAAAGCTATCTGCATGAAACTTTCCCAAAAGTTGTCTTTCTATTGCAGGTAGTATATAAGTCGGAACGAGCCGAATCGGACGACTATAGCATATAGCTCCCATAGGAACAATCGGAAAAATAAATGAAAATAAATTATAGCTTTGCTGTTTTTTAATTTTTTGTTTGGTTCTTCGGCATTTAGTAATGGTAAAATATTTCCGATTTACGGTTTAAATTTCATCAAAATCGGACGACTATAGCATAAAGCTCCCATAGGAACAATCGGAAAAATAAATGAAAAAAAAGTATAACTTTGCTATTTTTTAATTTTTTGTTTAGTTCTTCGACATTTATTAATGGTTACAGACCTATTATAAATATTTACTTTAGGAATCGCAACAGATTCCTTCTCTGAAACAGAATTAAAAGGAACTGGGGCACCCAGTTTTAGTACGTTAAGGTGACTAACTCAGCAGTTTTTTGCTACTAAATTGATGACTAAACGCGTTGTACCCTTCAGTGAGTTGTTTTAGTACACCTGCCCTATAAAGTCACTAATCTTCCCTGCAGGACTCACAGCCCAACCAACAGATCAATGTGAGCTCTAGCTCTGCCAACTAAGCTCGTGCATTGAGAATTCAAGATTATATCGCAGAGCCAGCAGAAAATAAAAATATATATTTTGATGCAGATGGATGCTGACAACAGCCCTTTTATGACCCTTTCCGTGTTCTTTGTGGTAAATATAACAGTCACAGGCTTGTCTTGTTGCTCGGAGTCTCTTCAGCTTATACGTATAATAAATTGTTTACTTTTTTCGACATAATTATTTTTTTTTTCTTTTTAATAAGGACAATTTTGCTATCGATTAAGAGTGGCTTGTGAAACACATACACATACTATGTACTAAGTTAGATAAGGCGCAAGTAAAAGAGCAGGAGAGAGAAAATAAAATATTTCATAGAGTTATTCGTGCAATCTTTGAAGAACAACACCACAAGCATTGGCTAAGCATGCTCATTGCGAGTCTCTACGATCTAGTCCTAATATGTTTATAGATAAACAGATAAGTGGTACGTGAAATTTACCTGTAAATGTTTTATTTTTATATAAAACCGGCTTAAAAATGATTTGCCTTGATACGTCATATATGCATTCCCATGTCGAGCAATGCCAGAGAGATTATATACTATCCCATTGGAGAGGTATAGTCCAGCATCATACGTAATAAAAAATGGCTTCTAAAAAAATCATTAGTTGTTTAAATGTGCAAGAAACTTCAAACTTACTATCGAAATGCTCTCTTTCATATCAGGCAGTTGAAAATGTTCGATTCCAAGTTTTTGCAGGTGTACAATGACCAATGGTGTTACAACATCCACCTCCTCGTTAATGTTAGTCCATCCAACATCATCCTCTCCCAAGTCAGCTGCCTTAACACCATTGTTTGACCTAAACCATTCCCCAAACATAGTAATTATTTTTATCATCAATTAAGTATTACAGTGTTTCGGTTGCTTAGAAACGCAAATCAAATTAAGAAACCATTTGAATGAAAAAACGATATAGTCAAGATTTCCGACAACGAGATACCCGTAACTCCACTTACATAGCGCTACCCTCAACAGAATGGCGAAGTATAGTTACTAGTGTAACTTTTCAGTTTAATACAACAACTTTGGGGGCGGCACAAAGAAAGTTTGTTTGAAATTTGTATTTGCATAATTAATTATAATAATTAATTTATACCATAGCATTTATATTAAGAAAATATTTCCCTTTCGGACACGGTTATCTTGTTCTTAATATTTGTTAAATGTTGATGCACTACAAACAGTAGTGCAAGCACGAGCTTGTTATGAGCGGGACCTTTTAGCACAAATAACATAATATAGTGACATTTATAAAAATAACTAAAACTAAGTACGGTGCAAATGTGTGTTAAAATTGTAGTTTTTAAGACAGGGGTAGAGGTTGAAATGCAAATTTGAGTATATAGATTAAAATAATTATTACAAAGAACACGAAAGGGTTCATGCAGACCAAAATTTGAGGTACATCTTGGCAAGTTAAGAGGATGATAGTTGCATTTTCATTAAATAATTGTAAATTATTAATTGTTTTAAATTTAAAAGCAAAACTTATCTTATTTTAAGCTAACTTATTTCAAATCAGATACTTGATACTTGAGCAACATGTAAGCAAATATCTTAAAAACAACAAAGTTATTCAAATTTTAATGTTTTATAGGGCCAGATAAACTTTCTCGTTAATTTTTATATCCGTACAAATGGTATTTTAATTTGAGTCAGAAGGACACATTCCCTACCCTAACAACATCAATAGGAAAGTCTAGCCATGTCCGATTGTTAGTCCACTCGTTTCAACGTAAAGTAGCCCATCAGTCTTAAAACTATTAGTAGAAGTTAAAGCGAGCCGGATCGAACGACTATATCACACAGCTGCCATTTGAGCAATCGGGAAAACATGAAAAATAAAAATTTGGCTGTTTTAAATTGATATTAATATACTTGGACACAAAGTAATGGTTCATTGTTTCAGAATTACGGTTCTTATTTTATTTTTTATTTATTTAAAAAAAAAAAGAATAAAAATCAACATATTGTTGTTTTAAAAATGTTTAATTTTTGGAATAGTTGCCAGGGTATATAGGCTGGGACTCGCCGATGTTTGCTTCCTTTCTTTTTAGAAAAGCTTTAAAGTCTTGTCGAACGTAGTTTGTTAAAACAAAATTAGTACTGAAGTACAGGTAAAAGTTTTTTTTTGTAAAAACCATGGTCACAATATTGGGGTACTTGGACTATTTCAAACCAAAACTTCTGATATCAAACAAAAACACCTCTTAACGAGGTAAAAAAAAAGTCGTGACGATCGCACTTTCAACATATAAAATATCTGATGTCAAGTTTTGTGACGAAAAATGAAATAGAATTCGACTTAATAAAAAAACTTTTTAAATGCCCCCATTCGTGACGCTGAGATAAAAAATGACTGTGTAGGCGAAAACCTGGACGTTTCCGAATGGAAACATTTAAAAAGTGTAATTATTTAGTCGACAGTTTATTCATTTACGTCACTAAATCTTATATCAGTTAATTTATATGTTGAAAGTGCGATATAAAATAGCTGATTGTAAAACATAAAAGCATAAATATCAAAATATTGTTGTATTACAAAATTTTAATTTTTTGAATATTTGCAAGGATATATAGGCTGGGACTTGCCGAAGTTTGCTTACTTTCTTGTTAGTTAAGCTTTAAAGTCTTGTAGAACGAAGTTTGTTAAAACCAAATTATTACTAAAGTTAAGGTTTTATTGGGGTCACAATATTGGGGTACTTTGACTATATTGCAAACAAAAACTTCTGATATCAAAAAAAAAACCTCTTAACGAGTTCCAAAAATGTCGTGACATATAACATATAAAATGAATAAGCATTCGACTAAATAAATCCTTTTTAAATGTTAGAGTATTATAAAAACTTGATGTTGTTGTTTGCTAAAATAAAATACATCAATTTATAACAAGAAAGGAAGCAATTTTTGGCGTGCCGACGTTTATTTACCATTGCAGCTATTGCAAAAATTTTGCTCTGATTTTACAGGCCGAACAAGTTATGACCTTTCAATGGACCCAACGTGCAGTTATCCTGTGACGCCTGTATTGAGATTGTGAACGATATGAAAACTTTCTTGCTTTAAACTACAGGTCTCATCAGCTGTTTCGACGTTGCTTGAGAGAGTTTGCGGAGTCCCTAAACTCAAAAAGGCCGCTGGTAGTGGTAGGCAACCAAAGGCCTGCAGCCCATATCAGGCGCACAGCAGAACGCGGCAACCCCGCCAAGGCAGCTATGATTGACAGCTAAAAAGTCTTTCCAGGTAAGTACACAACTTATAGACGACCGTCCTTCTAGACGGGGCGGTGTAGTACTTAGTGCCGTGGACTCCAATCCAACGTCAGAAGAAATATATTTCGAAAAATATAATAATATTGAATTTATTTGCATAACGTTATCGCTCCCTTTATTTTCTATAAAATGCTCTTATATTCTGCCATCGTCTGAAATTTCGGATTATTTTTATCTGCTTTCTAGGAGCTGGTAGTTCTAGGAGATTTTAGCGTACCTGGAGTTACGTGATACACAGAAGAAAAATTGATTGTCCTAGTACCTATAGCACAACATGGCTTTATAAATGAGTTGCTTGACTTATCTTTATCCGAAGTTTAACATGTTTAAAATTCACATAATCGCCTACTAGATCTGTGCTTTGTAACAAATCCTGAAGGCGTATTTCTATCCAGTAGCACCACTTACGCAAGATCCATTTCATCCTACTTTCGAAGTGACAATCGACACGGGTACCATAATAGAAGAAAAATCTGAAAAGTCTACTAAGCGATTACATTGTTTCCCAAGGCATACTAAGGTTTATTAATTTTGTATCTGGCTTTAGTTGGTCCGATCTCTACTCATGCAATTTAATTCCTAATTCCCTTAATATATTTTTACTCTGAAATAAATTTTTATACTCTTGCAGAGGGTATTATAATTTCAGTCACAAGTTTGCAACGCAGTGAAGGAGACATCTCCGACCCTATAAAGTATATATATTCTTGATCAGCATCACTAGGCGAGTCGATCTAGCCATGTCCGTCTGTCCGTCCGTCTGTCCGTCCGTTTCTACGCAAACTAGTCTCTCAGTTTTAAAGCTATCTGCATGAAACTTTCCCAAAAGTTGTCCTTCTATTGCAGGTAGTATAAGTCGGAACGAGCCGAATCGGACGACTATAGCATATAGCTCCCATAGGAACAATCGGAAAAATAAATGAAAATAAATTATAACTTTGCTGTTTTTTGATTTTTTGTTTAGTTCTTCGGCATTTAGTAATGGTAAAATATTTCTGATTTACGGTTTAAATTTCATCAAAATCGGACGACTATAGCATATAGCTCCCATAGGAACAAACGGAAAAATAATTGAAAAAAAGTATAACTTTGTTGTTTTTTTAATTTTTTGTTTAGTTCTTCGACATATAGCCATGGTTTAATTTTTCAGAATTATGGTTTAAATTTTATCAAAATCGGACGACTATATCATATAGCTCCCATAGAAATAATAAAAATATATAAAATAACTATCAAATAATTAAGCTGCAAATCATTATAGCTTCAATGTTTTAAACATATACGCAAGTAAATCATAATTTTAATGTTTTCAAAAATGTTTAATTCTTGCAATAGCTGCAAGGGTATATGAACTTCGGCTGGCCGAAGTTTGCTTTCTTTCTTGTTTTTTTTTAATTCTTGTGTTTCGTGGTATTATCCGTCTGTCACCACCAAACCACCTTGGTTTAGTAAAAAGCTGACTTACCTAAGAAAAGTAAAGTCCAGACTTTATAATAAATATAAACAAACCGGATCTTAATCTATTTTTTCCAGCTTTACCGTGCTTAATTCTCAGTGACATACATATTTTCAAACCGTTGTAGGCAGTTTTATAATTTTGTTGACAGTAAGCGTAAATCTAATACTTTTCCTTCCTTGATATCCTTTGAAAACACGACAGCAACTACAGATCAGGCAATAAACGATTAGTTGCCTAGTTTTTTCAAAGGTCTTTTTCTACCTCAGCTCATTCTTACGCCGTTTCCAAGTCGAACCTTAATTTCTGAGCCATCTTAATCGAAAGTTCTCTGCTATTAGATCTTCAACGTGTAAAGCCTGTTTGTTCGCCGGGCGCGAAGGAAATCCTGCTGCGTGCTTAGGTATTGCGCTATGTGCAAACCCTTTCTTAAGTTTTTAAACATATCTCTTGAAAACTTTCTATTCGGGAAAAGTCATTTGTGCCTACTTCTTCTTCACAAGAAAGGCAGTAAACTGCATGCCAAGAATTATTGAACTGTAAGGTAAAGTAAAAAGTAATCCATTATGTACATGAAATTCAAATCTTTTTGATAGTTAGAACTAACCGATTTATTTCAAAAAGGCACCATTTTTTTTCTACAATCGATTGTTATTTTGATGATACGTTTCGTTTCATGTTTTTCATGATACACCGCTAATTTTACACTATCCAAATTGACAGGAAAAAGTGGTAGTCACTTGGGTGGGCTCATCTTTTTTCGACCACTAAACGGTAACGTCTCACGTTGTCTTGACGCACTTTTCATTACCAGCCCCCATCCGCTTAAAAAACAGGTCGGTTTTTGTATAGCTTATGCGGCACCCATACATCGAGCTTTTTTGTGTATTCAGCCTTTGTTAAATGGTTCCAAACTGTTTTTGAGCAAATTTTAGTTCCTGGGCAATTGATTTACTGCTTGAAGGACGGTCAGTCCCAACGATTTCCATTATTTTTTCCGGCATTTTTAACGAATGGGCTTCCGCAGCCTGCTTCACCATTAACATCAAAATTACCAGAACGAAACCAGAGTTGTGCATGGTTGTCAGTTACAGTACTAGGAGCCATATACTCCATTTACATTTTCAGTTGCCTGGCTTGCGTTTTCGTCTTCGTCAAAGAAATATTTTAAGATATAGAAAATTGATTCTTTGCCGGTCTCCATATTTATCGAGGTCTCAAAGCGTTTGTGTTTTCGATCACAAAACTTTTCTAAGAAGCGTTTATAGTACGAAAGCTCATCTTTCTAACACCACCTACTAAAATGAAATCGGACTTACACAACGCGAGATACAGATAACTTAAGTCATCTATTGTTCAAATAATGGATTACTTTTGAGCTTATATATCTAAGTTGTCGGCTATTCCAAAGCTTTTTGAAAATATTGTTACACCACATTTGCAGCACCTTTGCAAATCAGTTATTTCTCCGTATCAACACGGATGCGTGCAGAGCCAAAAATTTTTTAGAAAAAAATTTTTAGATATGGGTAATAGCAGTAGATTAAATCAAAACGACAATAATAATGCGTTACTGCGCAGAGATCTAATTTTAGACATTTCCACATAAGTGTTTAAAGCCCCTCAAGAAAAATTGATGATGAAGTTGCATGTATATCAGAAACCTGGTTCGTCCCAAATGTATGTGATGTCATTGTTAAATGTGATTGTCATAACTGTCGGATTATTTATAAAAACGTACTGACTCTTCTATCTGAAATATCGATAGCAAATACAGATAAAATTGTCGCAGGCGACATTAATAAATTTTATTTTTTTTAATTTTGTTTTAAATTATCTAATCCCGGTGCATTGTTATTGTAATTTCATTCTACTGTGCATGTTTTGCCAGTGCTTGTGTTTCTTTTTATAACATCCCAGTCGGAAATTACACGCTTCCAGGATGGCTTCTTTCACGCTTCCTTTGCATGCGAAAAACGCATTCCAGATTCCTATAAGCTCTCTTTCCTTTTTGTTCGAGACGGGACAAGAAGCAAGCCTTCTTTTAGAACCGATCTACGAACGTATCTAAATACGTTCCATTGGAAGGTAGTTTCAACTTCGGAAACGCACGGCTTTCCCATCCATTTGTACTTTACGAAGGAAGCATTCTACAGCGCACTGTTAGAATGAACTCAGAAACGTGCCTCGGGAACCTTTCTGGACTGCTTCCAAAGCAAGCATTGCGTAACACATCTTAAGAATGAATACTGATCCCTTCTACAAGGACACATTTAGAATGATTCCAAAACATTCGTTCCAATAGTTTTACCCAAGAATGCAAATATTATCGTTCCCAACAAAGCTATTGGGAACCGTTCTTTTTTGAATTTCAATTTTTATTCATTTAATTTTTTTTATAAACCTTTGCTTTTAAATTTATTGTTTTACTCCGGGTCGTTTACTTCCTCTCTCATCTTTTTGGCCAAACTTTGAGCCTTATAAGTTTTATTCTTAGCCCTAGTGAAGGCCAGTCGAAGCTGTTTGATGTGGTTAGTGAACCGGTAGCCGTCCGACCTTTGTGACTCTGAATATAATAATTACAAAATTATAATGCTTATAATTTAACACACTATGTATAAATAAATGACATTTTAGTTTTTACTTAAAAAGTGTAAAGCACTAAAACCTTAACAAATTGATTGAGCAAAAGTTAAACGATATCACAAAGAAGGAAATATGTAATTTTATTAAAATATGTTTCTAAGTTTGTAAAACCCTTACCGAATAATGTTAAACTTATATGATTTGTCCCTAGTACCACCGTAGCTTAGCTCCATTATTAAACTGGGACTTAATACCTTACTAATATTTCTTCGCAAGTTGTCCTCCAGAAGAGTTTTGAATATCGAATATCGAAAATAAAGATGTAGATGTAAGTCCACCCTAGGCAGAAGGAAAAGGAAAAGAGAAAAAAAGAGCACTCAAATAAACGCAACGAGTTCACAAAACACAAAATTTAAATATATGAAATATATATAAATTACCATCTGTTTTGAAATAGTTTTTCTGGAATTAAACGAAAATAATATTTAAGACGCATTAATTATATTAACACAATTTATGAATATGTATTTATTATAAAATAAAACTCAAATCTTATTGCAGTGTACGATCAAAAAAAAAATTCTAATTCTCAGCCACACACTATTTAAGGAACAATTTGTTTACATTTGTTTTGACCGTAAATTGTTTTTAAGACTGTTAATAAGGGTTTATAAAATGGAATTTTTGGCAAAAGTAGACTTAACATGTTTTTAAATTAGTCCAGTTTTTGTTCATGTTTATTCGTTCACATTATAAGTATTTGTTATACCGGTACACTGCATATAAGATTGGTAATAAGTGTTTTTAAATTGAATAATTTTTTGGAACAGGTACACATCACATATTGTTTTAATTAATCCAGTGTTTGGTTCATTTTATTTTTTTAACAGTGTTGGAACTCCTTTTTCTTTTTAGTTTGTTTATATTAACACTATACTTACTTGAAAATTTCAACGGCAGCGATTTATCTAAAACACAGCACACGAGATTGTCTCCAAGAAAATCAAAACGAAAGCGGCGAGAAAAGCAAAAGAACCGAAAAAGACCGGGCGCTTTCTTTCATTTTACCTTTTGTTCTTGTCGTTTGCTTTTAAGAGTACAAATTTAATTTACACGTCTGCGTCCGGTGACGTGGAGTTGTTAACTGACAACTTAACTACAACTTAACAACTTAACAACTCCACGTCACCGGACGCAGACGTGTAAATTAAATTTGTCCTGAAGACGGTTGCCGAAGAGCAACCGAAATATATTGACAAATAACCAAAAATTAAAATAATTTTGTGTTTTTTTTCAACATCCTGACCTCGAGCCGGCTAACAATGAATATAAAATTATAATGTATAAAAACCGCTTCAAATGAATAATTTTGTAATATAATATAAAATATAAATTAAATATTTGAATTTTTTTTTATTATTATACAATTTCATCCTAACGCTACAAGTTTGGAACTTATAAGTTAATGCGCTAGTCACTAAGAATTGCAAATATTTAATTGTTACATTATACTTAAAACTAATTTTTATAAAAACTGACCAAAGTCGCCTTCTATTTTTACTTTAATTTACGTAATAGTATTTTTAAGGTGTGTGAATAATTGCGTGGCACTGCTAATATTTGTAAGACGGTTGGGTAGCTGATTACATGATCGAATAGCATTATCTAAAAATTGTCTTTCGGATGTCAGTGATCTAGGTCTTAAGCAAGTTAGATTGTTTGCAGAAAAATTAAGATCGCATCAATATCCATTAATTTAAAGAAAAATGACTTGAACACCACGTAAGCTTGAGGTGTCCTGTACCTTCTCCACTCATTGTACGCTCCGTCACGCTGTAATATTGCTATTTTAATGTTTCTTAGAACCATGGTTTTTCAGAAAAACGAATAACTCTGCTACGGACAAGCACGAGGCAGTTATATAAATAACAAATATTGTTTTATAAAAGGTTAACTTGTTTGTCTACTTCGGAAAGGGAATATATGTTATTCCAATTGCACGTGTTAAAGGTGGAGTCCAAAAGGTCATAGTTGATATCTTTAAAGTTCCTTAAAACTATTGGATGGTATGCATGTTTTGAAAAGGATGGGACAATAAGTTAGTCATATGGAGCTACTCTGTCTGTATCAGACACAAAAAATAAATCTAAAAGCGAGTTGCGGGTGTTGGTAAAATGAGTAGGGGACTCGAAGTTAACCAACTTCATCTCTAGCGATTTCATGTCCTCTGCAAGGTGGGATTCCCTTAAAATATCGATATTAAAATCGCCTGTTATAATGACGTCTGAATAATTTAATGACACGTCAGGAAGGATATTTAAAAATTGTTCATAGTCAACCCGGCAGTAAAGTCGGTATATACACCCAATTGGTAGCCTATCAGCATATCTTTGGCATCTAATTTCTACAAATAAGTATTCAATTGCACTACTGGTTGATTGTTTACATACAAACGTGGAACTTGACTTTTTACTTAAATATAATGCAACCCCATCCCCCAAGACTATCACGATCAGAGCGATGCAAATTATAGCAATCACATTCAACTAAAACATCACATAAATTAGGAGCAAACCAAGTTTTAGAAACACATATAACATCTATGCTCGAATTAATAAAGAGGTATCTGAATTCTTAAATTTTTCGTGTGAGGCTTTGGGCATTTATATGACACACATTAAGACTAGCTCTCTTCTTTCCGAGAACTCTTAACATCGCATGTCTATTTCATCGATTGGATTTATGTATATTTTATTGCTGTCAACCAGTTTAAATTATTTAATTGTAATATTAGCTGCGATCGCAGATGTAGCGCTTGCTCTAAAATGAGAGGAAAAGATAAGTTTTTTAGGCTCCATCTAGGGATCGAATTTGAGGTACTATTAGCGCCATCTAGAGCTCGGCAGTAGAAGTTTCTGACCGGGGTTAAAAGTCGATCTGAGAGCAACAGTGGCATGTGTCAACTTTCCCTATAATTCACTTTAGACCGCTCTATAGGTTACCGCTAACTTTCCGGCGTGGGTAGCAGTTTTTTCAATTTTGGCAGCCGAAGAGTTTAGTAATCTAAGTTGCAACTTGTTTGAAGTGAAAAGTAACCGAGAGTGCAGGGCTTCAATTTGAATTCCCAATTTTTGTGCAGAGGTTTGGGGGTGAGTCTTACACCCAGAAAAAAGTAGAACGAATAATTTTAGCACGAACGTTCTTGAAAATCGGACGAATAATTCTTAAAATTTTTAGGACGAACGTGTACAGAATAAGTACGGGTCATACTTGATAATAGTAATTACAATTTTTTTTTTTTAACACACAGAGAAAATATATTTTATAGCTTTAATTCTGATTATAATGTCTATAAATAATAACAGAATTATAAAAAAAGCATTTAAATCTATAAATTAAGCATTTTTCCACTAGCAGTCATACGATTATACGTTAATTTTGTACATTCGAGCACATTTGTGTATATCGATACACATCAGTGTTATCGGTCGATATCTTCTTTTCGGCTAGTCGATCGCAAAGCTGCCTTACTTTAAAACGAGAAGTGCGCAAGTAAGAGATCCGAGTCGCAGCGTAAAAAAATGGAAAGAGAATCGCCCAAAAAGCTGGAGGACGCATTGGAAGAAATGGGAATGCAGGGTGTGCTGCCGTACCTGCAGGGTAAGTAATTGTGCATTAATGTGAAACAATAAACTATTAGCAAATGTGGTAACATAAAAGAGAAGCGATGTCGTCAATAAAATTAAAATTCGCTTGAATTAAGTTAACTTACGAATTAAAGTAAAAACAAACAAATACTATAATTTACAATAAAACGGATTCCGAAAAAGACAAAGTAAAATGGAAAGAAAAAAGCAACGGTAAAACGTTCGCACGCACACATAACAATGCAAAACATTCTTGTGCAAGTTATCGCGTCTTGTTCCAATAAAAACTAGTAAAAATTAGAATTGGTGTTTAATCAGAGTTTATAAATAAATAGGCTGACGGAAATTTTACAAGGGCACATACATACATATGTATATATGTGAACGAGCGCTTTACCGTTCCTTTTTGTTTTCTATTCCTCTTTTTCGGAACTCAGTGCGGTACAGTTGCTTTTTTTTTCTTAGTAAAAAAAGAAGGAGTAAATTCGCGTGCACACATGTACATGCATACGTTTGCTGTTTGTTGCTGTTTTTTTTTAGTTCGTGTATTGGTATTTGCTTCTTAGAAAAATCATTTTAATTGTTTTTATATTAATTTCATACAGAAGCTGGAGTGACTTTGTCACTATTAGAAAGTGTGACAGAGGAGGAGCTAAAGGAAGCAGTTCTCCAATTGGGACTGCGTATACTATTCAAGCGGAAGCTTACAATTTGGAGAGAAAAAAATGTATGTTTAATAATAGACATTTTTTAGAGTAGTTTTTAACGCAATATTTTATTTAGAAAATTACCAAGGTCAGCGCACGCCAAAACGAAAACGAGACCAATTTTGTGCTCCACAAGGTAATTATTTTTTATAAATTATAATTTTTTTTTAATTTTGTATATATAAAATGAACAATTTATTTTTGTTGCAGAGCATTCGTTCGATTATAGAGGCGAAGGAGCATGGAAAAACGTTAATTAATAAAGGGAATCTTGTTGAGGTGGATAGAATCTGGCTGATCAACGCAATAGTTGAGGTAGCCATCAACAATAATTTAATAATTTTAATAATTTGTTAAAGTAAAAGTTTTCGGACTGCAACAAATTCCATTTGTATGATATCTTAATTTTTAAAGGAACTCAAAACCAATTACTACTTAGGTGTAATATTAAGTGACTTTGAGTTATTTAAAATTAATTTCTTTACTGTCTACAACAACGAAGCTTACGTTATATGACAACAAATTGAAATTACAAACTTTGATAAACATTTTCGTGCATACGTAATTGGCTCTGCTAAAGAATATTGTATTAGAAAGTTAAGTGAATTCGACACTGCTCCTTTGCATTTATATCCTGTAAATAATGATCAAACTCTTGTTCGTATTAAATATGTATAAGTTTCTTAAGAAAAATTGTTCTTATGTTTGTCAAAATATACAATACAAAAGTTGTACTTTTAAATATTAAGAAGTGAATCAGATATAATACTGAAATACCTTTCATTATGAAATTATATTTTTAAGTTAAAAACGTTTTGTACTTAAGAAAAGAATTGTTTATTCTTCAAATAATTATTGATTTCTTGAATAAAACATGATTTGTTCTTAAATTAAAAATATTCATTCTTAATTAAAGAGGGTTTGGTTCTTAAAAGAAGAATGGTTTACTCTCCAAATAAGAATATTTGTTTCTTACATAAAAAATAATTCGTTCTTGAAAATAACAGTATTCATTCTTTAACTACGAATTTTTCTGACTTAAATTAAAACTAGTCGTACTTAAATTAAGAACTGTTCATGCTTAAACGAACGTTTTTTATACTTAATTTGTTCACTTGCACAGTTTAAACTAAGACACTTTAATACTTGAATAAAGAATTTTTCGTTCTCAAACCAATATCTTTCGCACTTTCTTCAAGCACTTTTGAGTACTTGGACTGATGACGTTCGTTCTTAAATGTAGAACTTCGGGATTGAATAATTCGTACTTGAATATAGTCTTTCGTTCTTGAATCAAAAAAATTCGAATTTACCCTACTTTTGACATCGTTCGTTCTTGAATTGACATCGAAATTCTTGATTTTTTCTAAAAGATAAAAAATGGGAAAAATCCCAGCAGTCCCTTAGTGGTTTTTTTATTTATTAGGCGAACGAATTAGCAAGAATCTTAAGGCCAAAGTGGCGGATTCAAGGCAAAAGAAATCGTCAGTCGGCGCAAGCGCAACCAGTGCATCCAGCTCACATCGAACCTGCTCGCAACCGTCGAACTCAGCGCAACCAATTTAAATCGGAGATTAGCAGCGTTGTGCCTAGTAAAATTTGTCTTAAGCGGACACACGCAAATAGTTCATAATGCATAAAACAAATTAAGTTAAAACCACCAACGACTTAAGTTCGACACTAAGGGGAAATGTTCGATCGAGCAGCAGCTTCAGTTTCGTTTCCCCTCTAATTTGCTAATGACGTCGGCGCGCGAACTGCTCTGAACAGAGCTCGATGACCCGGATTTTGGCATTACTTTTTGGCCAAAGTGATGACCTAACAAGGCGAAGTGAAATATAGAAAATATACGTTGATTAAGTTTTTTTGTTAATTGTTTCAAATGGGAAAGGCGTGGCGTAAATTGGTCTAGAAAACCCCAAAATAATAACAAAAAGTGTAGTGTGGTGTGACGATGTGTAGCAGCAAAGTTAAAATTTTTTCCTTTTTTATCTTGTGCATAATTCTTAACCCCACTCTAAATATTAAAATTAAATATTAATATTTTTTACAGAATTAATTTTAGGAAAATTTTAAAAAGGATTTACTACCAACAAAACAGAGCGTTCAAAAAATTTAAAGATAAAAAGTGAATATATTTACGCCGCTGCTGTCCATAAAACACTTGTGTTGCGAGGCACTGTCCGAAAACCTCTTTTCCATAGCACAGTGTAGGAAGGAGGTATGACTTCGCTATCATAAGTCTTACCGTCGTTGGTAAGAACTTTTGCAACATAAAAAGTTGCTTAATTTGGCCATGACAAGTTGGAGCTCTTTGTGATGCCAAGATTAACCACTTGATCTACATACTCGGTTGAAGAATTTTCAATTCGTAAATTTGGGAGATTACAGATGCTGGATGATTTTTTACTTATAAATATACATTTACACTTATACGGATTAGGCGAAGGACTATTGTTTGTTGCCGACTTACTAACATTTGACAGTTCATCGTTACATATATCTACAAAGTCTCATCTTCCACCTATAGGACAAGTAACATACATTTGAACATCGTCAGCATACAAATGAACACTACAATTAGACAATATTGTCGGCAAATCATTCACATACGATGAGAACAAAAGTGAACAGAGTTTTGGAGCACATCAAGTTTAAGTGTCAGTGGTTCTGAACATCCAATGTCAGTAAAGTAAAAACAGCCTGCATTCTTACACTCAAGTATGAAGATATGAGTTTAACCTAAAGAAAAGTAATGTTAAAGATTTTTTGACGTGGTTAAATAAATGTAAACTTTAATTCAGTTTTCATTCTATCGCACAAGTTTTTGGTCTGATGGTGAACTAATAATTAAAGAAATTGTTCCTAACAGACAATGAGAATAATCGGCCTCTGATTATGGAGTCTTTTCCAAAAAACTGAACACTTCTATATTTTTAGCCTAACAAAATATAAGGGGGCTTAATATGAAGTTCCCTTAGCTGAACGCTGACTCCTCTGACTTACATAAACTTGGCTGAAACCGGAGATTTCCAACTGCGAGGTTTTTTTCAAAGAATTTTAGCTTTAAAAAACGGTAAACTTTTTATTAAAAGTTTGAAAAGCTGTAATTCCGGTAGTTTTACTCGGATTGAAGTTTGTACTGATTCAGAAAAAAAATTTTTTTATAAAAACCTACTCCCTATAAATAGATCAGCTCAGGTTTCCGAATAATCTGTTAACTTGGATTTCAAGTTATTTGAACGGTAGGCGGTTATTTTTAAATCGCTGCTTCCAACAAGTTTAAGGTAACATCTATAGTGCCTCAGGGTAATCATTTGGGCTCTTTGCTATTTACCAAAAATTAAAATTCGACTATCACACAAAGTCTACTGTTAACAAGGCTTTGAGTGTTCTTAACGATCCTTATAGAAATTAAGTATTATTTACTCCTATTTTCCCTCCTAATATAGAATATTACGCACCCGTTTGCAGTCCACAATATCAAGTGCAAATCGAGACTATTGAGTCGGTACAAAAAATGTCTGCTTTTCGCCCTTCGCTGTTTGAACTAGGATCAAAACGTAAGGTTGCCTTCTTACTCTAGTAGATTACTATTGCTTACTTTACCAATTCTTCTAAATCGTGGAATCATGCTTGGAACTATTTTTATGCACCTTCTTGTCAGAAGTGATATTGACTCCATAGAATTGGTGAGCCGATTAAGTTTTAATGTGCCATTTAAGCCAAGCCGCAAATACCATCCTCTTAACATTCCAAGATGTACATCAAATTTGGCCTGCATGAACCTTTTCGGGTTCTTTTTAATAATCACAATAATCTATATAATTAAATTTGTATTTCAACATCTATACCGGTTTTGAAAACTAAAATTTTAACATATTTGGGGCCGCGCGTAACAAGCTCGTGCCTGGGTTTCTTAGGCCACTTGTTTATACTGTTTTTAATTCAACAATATACGCCCTTTTCCTTCAATAAAAACCAGACTATGAGCATTTAAACGTTGCGGGCACCACTTCTGAATGGGATTTAATAAATGCACTTTCAGAAGTTGAGCCCAAGCTAAACAGCTTCAACAAAATATTTGTATCTTGTATATTTACTTGCAGCAAAAACATGGTTTTATCATAATATTTATTTGGCAATTATACAGCGGGATAAGGCATATAACAAATGGAAAAGATATAGGATCTACGATCCTTTTAAGTCATTAAGACGTTCAGTGACCAGACTCATCGAAACAACTAATAGCCTGATTCCATTGCCGCACTAGTGGACTTTTTAAATGCGCCTGATTCCATTGGCGCATTAGCATTTAGCTATTGCTACTCCGTTATATGAGTGGCACGAACAGCTTTTTGGCAAATCCAAAAGCAATTAATTAAAAACAAGAAAGGAAGCAAACTTCGGCAAGCCGAAGTTCATATACCCTTGCAGCTATTGCAAGAATTAAATATTTTTTAAGACATTAAAATTATGATTTACTTGCGTTTATGTCTAAAAACATTGAAGCTATGATGATTTGCAGCTCAATTATTAGATAGTTGTTTTATATATTTTTATTATTTCTATGAGAGCTATATGTTATAGTCGTCCGATTTTGATGAAATTTAAACCGTAACTCTGAAATATTTAACCATTACTTTATGTCGAAGAACTAAAAAAAAAATTAAAAAACAGCTAAGTTATCATTTTTCTTATTTATTTTTCTAATTGTTCCTATTGGATCTATATGATATAGTCGTCCGATTTCGATGAAAATTAAAACGTAATTCTGAAATATTTAATTATTACTATATGTCGAAGAATTAAAAAAAAAAATTGAAAAACAGCAAAGTTATAATTTTTGTTGTATTTTTTTCCGATTGTTTCTATGGGAGCTATATGATATAGTCGTCTGTTCTTGATGAAATTTAAACCGTAATTCTGAAGTATTTAACCATTACTACTTGTCGAAGAACTAATAGAAAAAATTTAAAAAACAGCAAAGTTATAATTTTTTTTTTTATTTTTTTGCGATTGTTCCTATGGGAGCTATATGATATAGTCTTCCGATTCTGATGAAATTTAAACCGTAATTCTGAAATATTTGACCATTACTATATGTCGAAGAACTCAAACAAAAATTAAAAAACAGCAAAGTTCTAATTTTTTTTATTTATTTTTTCGATTGTTCCTATGGGAGCTATATGCTATAGTCTTCTGATCCGGCTCGTTCCGACTTATATACTACCTGCATTAGAAAGACAACTTTTGGGAAAGTTTCATGGAGATAGCTTTAAAACTGAGAGACTAGTTTGCGTAGAAACAGACGGACAGACAGACAGACGGACAGATCGACACGCCTAGTGATGCTGATCAAGAATATATATACTTTTTAGGGTCGGAGATGTCTCCTTCACGGCGTTGCAAACTTCTGACTGAAATTATAATACCTTCTGCAAGTGTATATGAGTGGGTTTACTCAACTCTTTAATGCTCAGCAAGACATCTGTAATGCGACCGAGGCATTTGCCAACTTGGACGACAAGGGAGCGAATCTGATGGTGTTGTTTGACGGGTTTGCAATGGAGACCACCACAGTTTCTAATAAGGGCTAGGATCCCCGTAGATGTGGGTATTTCCTGTCAGAGATCCAGCAGTAATGCATTGTGGTACTGCGAGCTGAATTTGCAGAGTGCGCTCTTGTTTTCAGTCATTTTTATACAAAAAAGATTTTATATTCGAAAGAAATCAAAAATTGCGTCATTCTTGAATATAGAAAACAGCTGTTGTAGTGTTAAACACCAATATTTTTTCTAAAAAAGTTCGGGGCGAATGATTTTTTATCGCATTTATTTTAAATGCGGCATTTAGCCTTATGGGATTCCCTGTGTAAATAAATGCGCATTAGGCTAAATGCGTTTTAATGCGCCAATGGAATATAAATAAATGCACGTTAGGCTAAATGATAGCAAAGATTCTGCTGTACATTACATACATATTTAATACTGCTTTGTTGTTTGTGGGCTTGGCATGTAGAGGATCGATGTGAATGCCTCTTTCGTATGCGAATGCGAATGGTTCCATCTCTGGTACTTTCGTCCATCGGTATCTGCCAGTAGCCACTTTAAAGATCTAATGTGCTTATATATTTTGGCTGAGTTTGTTTGAGTTTGTGATCCATTCGAGGTACCATCTCGTTCTGAGCTCTCGTTCAGCTGCTTGAGACCTATCCATTGCCTCCATTCTACTGTCGAGATGTAAGCGGAATGCGAGGGTTCTATGAGGTCTTGTGCCAGGAGTTTGTCCACTTGTTTATTTATGATTAATAACATTGCCGGGTTTCGAGGGTAGAACCTCTGTTTGATTGGGCGGTCGTGATTCATGAAGATTTTGTAGCTTTCAATGTGACAGATTCCCTCGATTTGGCTCATTATCTCCAATTCACTTTTGAAAGTTTCTTGGATCTCTGCCTTTGTCAAATCGCCTGTTGCTAGGGATCCGATGCCTTGTCTATTGTGCTTTTTATTTCTGCGTTGGTTTCTATTGTTCTTCCAATTAGCATTATTCTGTTCCAAGAAATCTACTCCTAGTAGCAGGAGGACTAGCAATGAAGTTGAGCTTGTCTGGTTCCCGAGCTATGTCGTTACTTCCATTGCCTCTGCCGTTTTCCGAGGTCTCGTTTTGGCGGCACCAGTGAATCGTGCAAGTTCTATTTTGTCGACATACCCAGCAGAACAGTCTTGGCTGATGGATGCATTCCCTTGCCATGTGTCCCACTGCTTTGCACCTTGAGCATGAATTATTCATGTCGAACGATCTTGTAATGCCTCTGTTTATTGCTGGTGGTGGCTCTTGGGTCTCCACTGGTTTCTTAGTGGTCTCCAGTAACTTTCGGGTGGTTGTAGAGGTTCAGAGTGAGTTCCCGGTGGTTGTTGTGGTCCCCGTGTTGCTTTGTGTTCTCGTTGTTTGGAGGGCTTCGAATTCCTTGGCTAATCGCTGGTATTCCGCTAGTGTTCGGCATTTTCCACGTTTAGCGTACCGTGTATATTCTACTCGACTGGTTCGGTAAACCCACTCTGATTTTTTTCATTTCTATGACCATAGTAAATCTCATAATTTTCCGGAGTTCTCGTGTGTTCTCCTTTTTCCGGCTCATTCTTACCCTGGTGGCTATGTGTGATGCTTTCAATTGCTTCTTCCTCGTGGTCAGCTGGTTTGCAGTACTCTAGGAATTCTTTTTTGAAGGCTTACCTGGATAGCATCGGAGTTAAGTCTCTGAGTAGTATAACCATAGGTTCTGCTACGTGATCGAGTTCTATCCCGTAAGCATCTGCTAATTCCTCCGTTCTGCTTATGAACTCTGCCGGATCGCCAGTGGCTTCGTATTCTTCTCCCCAGCAACGTGTTTCTCCCATTGTGGCCACCTTACTCACATCGTTCTTTGTGGGTTCGGGTGCTGGCGTTTCCTCGTTCCTAGTTGTTGTGTTTAGTAACGCAGGCATTTTGGGTTCTCCTTCTCGATCTGTGGCCCTGTGTCAATTGTCCCGCTAGTGCCTTTCCTATTTCGTCGGGTATTTGTGATATGTTTCTTGTGTGTTTTTATGCCAGTTCTGATGGTTCCTTGCTGTGGTTATATTTCTGGGGTTATGAACTTCGACATCTGCCTCCGCATGTCCTCGTACAGTGTTTCTGGCTTGATGTCGAATCCTATCACATAAGCTTCCAGTTGGGCTTTATTGGTGTTGCTGTCCGCCATTATGTTATCTTATGGTTTGTTTCAGAAGGGAGTAAACGATCTTTTGTGTTTCTATTCAATAATTACACAGAAGGAGAACGCTACGTAGTATGCTTATATTTTAAGGATTCGTAATAGATAAGTTACAATAAGTAATTTCAGGGTGTGGGCGTCTCGGCGAAGTTGTTCATAAGGCTTGATGACTCGACTGCTTGAACATTGTGTTGGCGTTGTTGAGGCGATGCACTGCTTACTTAATAAGGAGCTTCTCGTCGGTCGAGAACTTCGGGTATGTTCTGGTTCGTCAAAACGATATGCTTGGTTTTCTAGTGGGAATTGGGGATGTAGACCTGTAGACCTGTAGGGCTACATTAGTTTTCGACCTTCCATTAAGCCGGTAACGTGACTTTTTGGGGGAACTCATTGAGCTGGGCCTGTATTCCATAAACGGCCGGGCTCAATGATCATGACCGGGCCAGGGTTGATTCGTAATCCACACCCGGCGTCGGCGATCTTAACCGAACACTTACGAATCCACCACTACCAATACTAGCCATCAGAACACTTACTCGGATATTCCTCCTTTGCTAATGTTTCCTTGATGGTCGTCAAATATTAAAATTTATCACTATGGACGGCAATTCATGGAGCGCACCAAGAGCGTGAGCATAGCAGACTACTATATATAGCTGCAGAATTTAAAATCTGTTTTGATGGTCCGATCGTAACGAGTAGACTTTAGGAAAATTAATTGGTTCAGAAGAAAGCGCCTTGAAAGTGGCATACAAAATTTTTTTATGTGGAGCTCTTGGGCCCGTGTTAATAAAATAATCCATCTTTTTAGCACAGTTTAAATTTTGTTAAGAATACGCGTCGAATGAACCCAATTTGTTTAGATCCGATGCTGCGAACAAATGTTATTAAAAAAATTCTTTTTTTGTGTATCTCAAAACTAAAATTAAACTTTTAAGGATTTGTTTTAGAATCCTGGAAAAAGTTTCTTACAAAAATCAGGGTCTCCAACGACTTTTTAAAATCGGGAAATCGGCAGGAAATTGTTATTTAAATAAATAGTTAAACTTTTCGCGCCAATAACTTCTAATCTAGTGCTAAACACGTTTTTAATTTAATTGGTCTTAATAGAATAGTTTTAAAATTATTTAATTACCTACTAAAAGAATGCATCACCAATTTGATGGAGATAAAGTTATGAAAAAAAACTAATAAATTTTTAAAAAGTAAATTTAAAACTATTCTTAATAAGATACTTTGCAAAATTAAAAACAAGATGTAAACCAATATCCTAAAAACAACGAAACTTGTTAATTTTTATATCCTTGCTAATGGTTTTAAAATTTCAACAATAAGAGACAATCCCTGACCCCATACTCTTGATCAGTCTGTTTGTACACTCGTTTCTTCGCAAACTAGCCAGTTTTACAACTTTCCCAAAAGTTGTCTTTTTACGTCCCAAATTGAATACCAGATAATTTGTAGGTTAAAGGTGTTTTTGTTTATTTTAGTATATATACTTAAACTAAGCGCATGCAAAGCTTCGTACATATGGGTACACAATAATTAGTTTTTTTCTATTGTGTCAATGGAAAAAACAGGCACCGCATCAACAATTACCTGAATAATTTTATCTGCTCTGTCCCATTACTTGACGTAGCAACAGTAAACAAAGCGGGCACAGTCCAGATGCACATTAATATTCTCATCACATACATTTTCTAAAGCCAGTAATTTAATTTGCGTTTTCCACTTTTTTTTCTACGCCAAGTTTAGATGTTCTATAAAAAAAATAATAAATGTGAAAACATTATTATATATATGTTAATTAATTAATTATAATTACAGTTGTCTAAAAATATATATAAAAACATTAAAAAGCTAACCGTTGTCTAAAAATATATATAAAAACATTAAAAAGCTAAAATATATACCCTGTCAGCTTAACGAAAAATATTTCATTATTGAACAACACGATAGCTTAAACATATGGTTAAAAATACATAAAGTAAGAACTTCGATTTTCCATTGCATTTTCATATACCACCCGCTGTTAAATGACATAAATGATTAATATACCGAAAATTGTTTTTTTTTTTCAACCACTTTGCATGAAACCGTAGGGTATATATATACCCAAATTCATATATTCTTGATCAAGATCAATAGCCCAGTCAATCTAGCCATGTCCATTTGCCTATCCTTCTGTATAAACGTCGAGATATATAAAAGCTAGGGATTCGGGATATTGTACGCAGATTCTAGAAATCTCAATTAAATCAAATAATTTTTAAACCGAATACTTTTTTTAAATAAAATAACACCTAAAAAATACAGTAAAATAAAATAAAATATTCGTTTATTGAGTAACGGAAACACGCCTATAGCTTTATTTCTTGTGCATTTTTATACCCTTGCAGAGGGTATTATATTTTAAGTCAGAAGTTTGCAACGCAGTGAAGGAGACATCTCCGACCCTATAAAGTATAAATATTCTTGATCAGCATCACTAGACGAGTCGAGTTAAAGCTGTCTGCATGAAACTTTCCCAAAAGTTGTCTTTCTATTACAGGTACTATATAAGTCGGAACGAGCCGGATCAGAAGACTATAGCATACAGCTCCCATACGAACAATCGAAAAAATAAATAAAAAAAAAATTATAACTGCTGTTTCTTAATTTTTTTTTAGTTCTTCGACATATAATAATGGTTAATTATTTCAGAATTACGGTTTAAATTTAATTAAAATCGGACGACTATATCATATAGCTCCCTTAGGAACAATCGGAAAAAAATGAAAAAAAAAATTATAACATAGCTGTTTTTTAATATTTTTCTTAGTTCTTCGACATATAGTATTGATTAATTATTTCATAATTACGGTTTAAATTTCATCAAAATCGGGCGACTATATCATATAGCTCCCATAGAAACAATCGGAAAAAAATGAAAAAAAAATTATAACTAAGCTGTTTTTTAATATTTTTCTTAGTTCTTCGACATATAGTATTGATTTATTATTTCAGAATTACGGTTTAAATTTCATCAAAATCGGACGACTATAGCATTTAGCTCCCATAGGAACAATCGGAAAAAAAATGAAAAAAAATTATAACTTTGCTGTTTTTTAATTTTTTTCTTAGTTCTTCAACATATAGTATTGATTTATTATTTCAGAATTACGGTTTAAATTTCATCAAAATCGGACGACTATAGCATTTAGCTCCCATAGGAACAATCGGAAAAAAAATGAAAAAAAAATTATAACTTTGCTGTTTTTTAATTTTTTTCTTAGTTCTTCAACATATAGTATTGATTTATTATTTCAGAATTACGGTTTAAATTTCATCAAAATCGGACGACTATATCATATAGCTCCCATAGGAACAATCGGAAAAAAATGGAAAAAAATATAACTTAGCTGTTTTTTAATTTTTTTCTTAGTTCTTCGACATATAGTATTGGTTAATTATTTCATAATTACGGTTTAAATTTCATCAAAATCGGACGACTATATCATAAAGCTCCCATTGAAATAATCAAAATATATAAAATAACTATTAAATAATTGAGCTGCAAATCATCATAGCTTCAATGTTTTTAAGCATATACGCAAGTAAATCATAATTTTAATGTTTTCAAAAATTTGTAATTCTTGCAACAGCTGCAAGGGCATATCAACTTCGGCTTGCCGAAGTTTGCTTTCTTTCTTGTTATTTATAAAAGTCTAAGATACGATTTTTTTACTGCAAAAGATTTAAAAAAAGACTTAGTAGGATTTTATTTTTAAAAAAATAAGTAAGTTATTTTTGATTTTGAATTTTTCGAAAGTTTTAGTTATAAAATCACAAAACAAGTCCGTGCATGGCGGAGCCATTAACTGAAGGAAAAGATATTGTTTGAAATTGTTTGTGACCACCACCAAAGGGTCATCTTACATTTATGTACAAATTGATTTAATTGTCCTGCACTCAAAAGAAAATTAACCCTTAATTCGTTTCTTAAGCTAACGTTTTCCTAAAATGTAACTTGTTTGTGCTATACCGTTGAAGACAAACATATGTTAAATTTATTTGTTTTTTAGATTTATTTTATTTTCGCCAGCGGGAATCGTCATACTTGCACATGAGTAGTGGAGATTGGGACTATTCCGCCAGGGTTTTATCAAAATCATTTTTTGTCCATTAAATAAATATTTTGATTAACATTCTTTTTATCATTGGATGCAATTAGAACCAAACTTTAAAATTGCCTTGTTCGTTTTTTGAAAAATGAATGTTGCGATTTATACAAATTGAAAAAATAAAAGACAAAAATGCACTGTGGTCCATAGGCCATAAATACAAAAATCAAAGTCAAAATTTTGACTTTAAATGTACCAATTCTTGTTTATAATTGGTCCAGCTATTTGAATTTTTCATCATTTTGTTTTGCTCTTTCTGTCTTCTTCAAGAATAGCATCGAAGGAGAAAGCGTAAGCAACGTGCAGGGGAAGCTCTTCTTAAACATTTTTTTAAGCTTACTAAAAATAAAAATACTTTTTACAACAAAAAGTATATGTAGTATGTGTTGTGTTTTGTGTAAATTAATATTGTATTTAATACATAATTGTGATCTTCTTGGTTTGTCATTTCAGTGTTTGGTTAGAATTGTGATGGCATTCTTGGGGACAACAAAATATTTTGGTATAATATTCTTAAGCATTTTAGGAATATAGAGAATATTTAATTATAGTTAGCTGCCGTGCGGCTTGCAATTATACGAAAAGGTAACCAAACCTCAATTTAAAAAAGACGTGTTTTAACTGTGTGCTGTAGTTTGTTGCAATCTATAGTATCCAGATTTTTACTGAAATCTCCCAGGTTATATACAAAAATTTTCTTTGGGTTACTTCAACTGCAGAAACCTGCAGATGTACTTGTGCCATCGCAAAACCACTAACCATACAACATTTGTATGTCTACATGTTGTATGGTTAGTGGCAAAACGCAACCTTACCTCATTTTTCTTTCAGCAACTCTTGCAGAAGCAAAGCACTTTTTAGTTCTGTGTCGTATCAATGAAAGCTATATGATATAGTTGTCCGATTTCAATAATATTAAAACCGAAACTCGGGAATATTAAACTATTACTAAATCTTTAAGAACTAAAGAAAAAAGGTAAAAAACCAATACTTATTATTTTTTCAATTTTATTCCCGATTGTTCCTATGAAATCTATAGGATATAGTGGTTCAATCTGGTCAATTCTTGTCCTATACATTTGTAAAATTTTTCTAGATTTTTGGAACAAGTTTCAAAGCGATAGCCCCACTAAAATATTTATGCCCGCGGATCCTATACAAGCCCGACCACTATGCCCTGGGGCAAATTTACTTCTTATAAAATGCGACGACATGTTATCAGTAATTAATTTCAAATAAATTACAATCCGCCTAAACTAGGGCATCAGCTATTGTATTGCATTAGTAGAGATCGGACCAATCAAAGAAAGATATAAATGATTTACCCTCAGAAAGTCTGCCTTGCGAAAACAATGTAATAAACTAGAACGCTCTTCTGATTTTTCTTCTATTACGGTAACCGTCTCGATTGTTACATCGAAATTAGGATAAAATGGATCTTCAGGTTGCGTAAGTAGTGCTTCTCTGGAGACAAACACGCCTTCAGGATTTGTTACAAAACAAGATAAAAAAAATAAATTGAAATCACCTAGAACTACCAGCTGATCAATATCGGAAAGCTTATTAGAAAATTATTAATAGCGGTAAAGTGATCACAAAAATCCGAAAGTTCAGACGATGGCGGAATAAAAGAGTATGTTGTATAAATAAAGCAACCAGGGAACGATAGCTTTATGCAAATAAATTCAATACTTTTAAATTCCTCAAAACTTATACTCCACCGTCCCGTCTAAGAGGACGGTCAAGCCTATAAGTTGTGTACTTACCTGGGAAACTTCGGAGCTTAGAATCTCCGACTTTAACAATATTTCTGTAAACTCGATAATAATCAAAGGAAGCAAAGTAAAAGCTATCAGATTATAATTTAGTAAGCTTGCTATGCAAGCCTCTTGTATTCCGATAGGAAAGGAGTTTACAGGTTAGTTTTTAGCAGGATCTGAAGAGGAAGATGGCACACTGGTCAGGCCTCGACTGGAAAGTCTGACTTCCATGACCCGCTTCGTTTTTATCTTTGCTTGGAACTCTTTTACCACCATATTTTCCGGCCACCAGAGCATAAATGCTAAAAGCTCATTTGGGAAAAAATCTTAAAATATGAAATGTATCTAGCGTAAGAGAAATTGAATTTTTCCACCTTCACATTGACGTGGTCGGCTTTAGTTTTGTCTTGTCTTGAATATAAGGCAGTACATCAGACGAGGTTTGAGTAAGGGAAAGCCGAGAAACAAATATTTGTTTCTTCGGTGGAACCACAGAGAGGGGTTAGGCAGTGCAGATTGACTTTCTGCTGAAACCAACATGGGCCTGTAGTCCGAACACAATATTCTCTTGGGGCGGTGTAGGTATTATACTAGTGTTTAGTTGGTTCACTGATTGTAAACCCATCCGAACCTTTGGAAGCTTCTGGATGCGCACGCTCCGCTACGGATTTTTTGGGTTGTGAATATTTTTTAGCTGCCGATCTTAGCTGCCTTGGATGAGCTGCTGCGATCGGCTGCTAATCAAATTATGAAAAGGATGCAGTTTCACGATAGTCACATGCACAAATCATGACAAAGTGGCGGCTACTCTATTTTGTTTATAGATACTATCTGAGGTCATCGCTAGTTTAATGCTATCATCACTATTTTAAAAGTTCGAAAAAAATGCCTAAGCCGAAGTGCCGCAATGTGTGGCTAAAAATCCCCGAAATAAAAGATACGGCTTGCGAAGGCTTGAAAAATGCTGCTTCGAACACGAAGTGCCCAACAATTACCTGCGCAAGATCGGCACAAATTTCGCTTACGATAACAAAGAAAATGCAGAAGAATTGGAGCAAATCAAGAAGATTTTGTTTTATATATAAAAAAAATCGTATAAAAAATGGATTTTTAAAATATTTTTTGGTTTTTTTTTCTTTTGTTCAGTCAAAAACATTTTTTCTGATTAAAAGTTGCAACACCGTGCAGTAAGTGCATGCCAGCCCGACACCAAAAACAACAATACAGCACAAAAGAAACACCGCAAAACCCAAGAAAAGCAAAGAAACACAAATGCTTAAAAGATTTTTTAGTTTATAATTAAACAGATAGTTTTCACTTGCGAAGCGATCGGAATATTATAGTTGGAATGTTGAAATACCGATTAACATAAATTTTTTAAATCCTACCGTGGGTCTATTACAAAAACAAATAAAAATTTGGAGCGTACAAAAAACACGGCTTTGAAAGTCAAAGTTACAGGATTCTCTTTTTTCTTCGTACATAGAAACAATTTTCATTTTTCCACAAACATAAATTTTTTTTGTTTTTACATATTTGGTGGTTTTATGCAAAGGGGTTTGATGGTTGCGTGAATACAATTTCAAATCAATATCTATATAACTAAAGCCTCTGCAGCGAAAAGCCTTTTGTTTTGATTTTTATGATATCAAGCAAAAACGTCAACGTCAAAATTCCTTCTATTAAACGCGGCTTATATATCCAAGTTCATTAAAAACCGTGTAAATTTACAATCCCAAATTATTGTAAATGCAAATGCAAATATAATCAAGTATTTAGAAAAGGTAAAAGGTTCAAGAAAGCTAAAGCAAACTTTTTAACATACAATTTTTTTAAGAGCATTACCATTTTGCCGACAATGTGTTCTTCACGTTGAATTATGATATTGTGTATACGCTCTGGTAATAAGGTCTGGTTGTAGAAACATGTAAAACGAAATATCTTATACTTTGCTATGCCACCGCATAACTTAACCACCGATTTAAATTATCTTAAAGTTGCATTGAAATTGTGTTTTATTTATTAGCATATTTGCTAAAAGATAACAAAATTAAGTGTAGTGGTATCAACCTAATTTGAAAACAAAAATAAATACAAATTTGTTGAGTACCTATTTAATATAGCAAAGATAATTAAAATCTTTACCCAAATAAGGTAAAAGGTAGCCTCACATTTTATACCTTGTTAAGGCATAACTTACCAAATTGTACCTAGGTTCGTACCTAGGTACAAGAATCTATGAACAACCAAACACTGCTTGTAAGACAAGAGTTTTCATAACAACTTCAATATAAAAACAAGAAAGAACGCTTTAGTCGAATTTCCCGACTATTAAACTAAAATTCCCCCAGATATAAATCAGATTTCAGGTGGCGCCATCTGTCGAACTGCATAGCCAACACTAGAAGCTAAGAGCATGCAGCACCCCCACCTCCCGTTCTGTCACTCTTTACCAGCAACCATTGGCAGAGCAGCGGCTGATCAGCGACAGAGCAGCGGCAGAGGACTGTGTAATAGAATTAAAAAAATATGATATAGACGTCCGATCGGCACGCGCTTTGACCCAGATCAAGGTATGCATAAAATATATACGACCATTATATGTAAGGCAGATATATACCTCATCTAAAGACACTTATCCAAAACTATACTATGCCGAAAACGCTATATTTTCCTGTCATATACTTAATCAATATAAGAATCTGAATTTCAGATTCGATTTAGCTTTGATTTTCCCCTGGCAAATACGTGCGTTTAAAAACAGTCATTATAATAGATATTTATAATAAATAGCTACTCCTTTTTTTAAAGTTTACAATAACAAGAAAGCAAGTAAACTTCGGCAAGCCGAAATTCATATACTCTTGCAGCTATTTCAAACACTAAATACTCTCGAAAACGTTAAAATTATAATTTACTTGCGTGTATGTTTAAAAACATTGAAGCTATGATGATTTGCAGCTTAATTATTCGAAGTTCCTATGGCAGCTATACAATTGTTCCTATGGGAGCTATATGCTATAGCCGTCCGATTTTAATGAAAATTTAACCGTAATTCTGAAATATTTAACCATTACTATCTCGAAGAACTAAAAAAAAATTATAAAACACGAAAGTTATAATATCTATACCCTTCAGTCAGAAGTTTGCAACGCAGTGAAGGAGACATCTCCGACCCTATAAAGTATATATATTCTTGATCAGCATCAGTAGGAGAGTCGATCTAGCCATGTCCGTCTGTCCGTCTGTCCGTCCGTCTGTCCGTCCGTTTCTACGCAAACTAGTCTCTCAGTTTTAAAGCTATCTGCATGAAACTTTCCCAAAAGTTGTCTTTCTATTGCAGGTAGTATCTATTGCAGGTAGTATATAAGAGCCGGATCGGACGACTATAGCATATAGCTCCCATAGAAACAATCGGAAAAATAAATTAAAAGAATTATAACTTTGGTGTTTTTTAATTTTTTGTTTAGTTCTTCGACATATAGTAATGGTTAAGTATTTCCGATTTACGGTTTAAATTTATTCAAAATCGGACGACTATAGCATATAGCTCCCATAGGAACAATCGGAAAAATAAATAAAAAAAAATTATAACTTTTCTGTTTTTTAATTTTTTGTTAAGTTCTACATATAGCAATGGTTAAATATTTCAGAATTACGGTTTAAATGTCATCAAAATCTGACGACTATATCATATAGCTCCCATAGAAATAATTAAAATTTATAAAATAACTATCTAATAATTGAGCTGCAAATCATCATTGCTTCAATGTTTTTAGAAATATACACAAGTAAATCATAATTTTAATGTTTTCAAAAATTTTTAAATCTTGCAATAGCTGCAAGGGTATATCAACTTCGGCTTGCCGAAGTTTGCTTTCTTTCTTGTTTTTATTTATATGTATACCAACTAATGGTCTTCAATCGGCAAGGGTATAGTTAATTCGTTTTGCCGAATGTAGTTAAATTCTTAATTTATGAAATATACTAATCGATATGGACAGTTGCGTTCTAATTGTTATTGTACAAACATTAACACTTATTACCTTTATTTAACTTGAAGCTTTTATTCACACATTTATAATTGTTGACTGTAAAGCTTTTATGGCTTTATATTATGGCATATACTTGGTGACATTTTACGAACACAAAATGAGCACACAGTAAAATTAGTAATAAATCACTAATAACACTTCATCATAACTGTATACTTTGAGTAGTTTAAATTTGTATATACTTTTTTTGTATACCTTAATGTTTGTACGAACTACGCATTCTGCCACCTTTGGTTTGTACTGTCAACTTATTTGTGTAGTCCATATTAGGAAAATGGGATTTTTATCATAGCCATTTACTTTTTGCATTGTTGTTGACTAATAAACTATGTATACTTTAATGTTTGTGCGAACTACGCACTCTGGAATTTATATCAAAGCAAATAAGATTATTTATTGTTGCCCATATAAACTTACTCAAATAAGCTTGACCATTAAAACTAAGCTCATCCGCTCACAGATACTAGTACCTAACATGTAAGCGGCTCAATCGAGACTACATTGGAATCAAAGTGAAAAACAGCAGAGAACGCTATAGTCGAGACTCCCGACTTTTAGATACTCGTTACTCAGCCAACAAATTTCAAACTAAGTTCTTTGGTTTTGCCTCTCTACTGCGATTTGCGACAAGCAGCGGCCGAACAGCGGCTGAGAGCGGCAGACTCGCGGCAGATCGGCGGCAGTGGACTTCAAAACCCCATAACTTCTAAAATATTAGCTCGATTTTCAACATTTTTGTGATTACCGATAGATATGACCGAAACACATACATACAAGCGTCCTCCGTTCTCACATGTCTCAGAGTGACAGTTTCTACTTCCATGATTTGTGGGCGTTAGAGTGGACGTGGCCCCGTTTTGAAAATACATAAATAAATAAATTGCACTTCGTAGGAACTACTATAAAATACATGCCAAGTCCCAAGTCTGGTGCTTTTATAGTTTCCGAGTTCTCGACGTTCATACAGAAGGACATATAGACGGACATGGCTATATCGACTTAGCTATTGATCCTGACTTACTTTACTTACTTAACCTTGACCTTGTTAATTTCGAGAGGATACATTTTAATCGTTGAAAATCGGGGTCTGCCGCCCGTCTGCTCCTGCTCTGCCGCTGTTCGGTCGCTGCTTGCCGGTAATCGCTGCAGTAGAGAGACAAAACGAAAGAACTGTAAGCGGGGGTGGGGGTGCTGCACACACTTAGCTTCTAGTGTTCTCGATGCAGTTCGATAGATGGCGCCAACGAAACTTCCATTGTTTTGTAGGGGGAATACTTAGCTTGAAGTTTGTTGGCTGAGTAACGGGTATCTAAAAGTCGGGAAACTCGACTGCACCGTTCTCTCTCGTTTTATATCAGAGTGAGGCAGTTAAAGATACAATATGTATAAAACTGGCATTGCCAGAACAAGCAAGCAAAATTCGGCAAGACGAAGGTTACGCTGGCTTACACAATTTAAATCGACAACATCCTCCACAGATTAAACCTTGATTTTTCGGTGCATTTGAACGATCTTATTCTGAAAATGACGCTCCAAATATTTTCTTGTGTCCAACTGCACCGGAAAATTTAAGTTTGATTTTTCCCGGATTATGGCATTTTTTTATGGCATTTTAGGCAACAACAAAAAAATAGCAACTAGTTAAAAAAAAATAAATTTTTTCAATAAAACCCTTTAGTTTTTATAAATTTAATTAATTTTTGAAATCGTTAGAAAAATTTTATCTAGAGATATATGCGTAAATGTTCAAAAATCACAAAGATAAGTATGTCGACAGTAATACAATATTTTTTTAAATTTAAAATCATATATCGGAGTAGCCTCATAGTTTTTTTATAAATATAAACGTTTTAGTTTATATATATATATATAAAAGTGACTTATTACAAAATATTCTAAACATTTCCCACATTGGTTAACAAATTGAAATCGATGAAATCCTTCAGAGATCAAACCTTAATTTTAAGGTTCAGATGGACTCCCTGATTCAAAAAATGACACTCAAAACTTTTGAATCGTTATTTGTTGTTATGTTATTTTTATTTCCAGTTCTGCTTGACCAATTTCGATCATCGATATAATATAATTAGAAGTAGATTATTTTTCAACTTTTCCATACATGTTATAAGGATTAGTTTCCTAATATAGATGATAGAGCTGGACAAAGTTTGAACAAATTGCTAAAATTAATTCTTAAAAAAAACACATGAAAACCGAAAATAATTGTAATATCTTGAAGATGGAACATTTATTTTTAATCATTTATTTATTGTCGAGTCCTAGCATCTATAATACGGATACCTCCTTATAAAATGTATGGGAAAGTTGAAGAAAGATCCATTTCTAGTGAAATAAGCTTTCGATGACCGAAATTGGTTTAACAGAACTGGAGATAAAAATAACATTGGCATGAAAACCAGTGAAAAACATTATTTACACTTAAAAAATAAATGGTACTATACAACAAATTTTGAGTGTTATTTTTTTTATCAAGGAGTCGATCTGCACCGGAAAAAATTGGTAAACCAGTGTTAACAACAGTCCCCTTATTATAAACATTTCACACGCATTTATCGACGACAGCAGACATTTAAAGGGTCCAGCATGAGAACCCAGTCATCAGCATAAAAGCTTTGACCAATAAAAATGTTATATACATAAGGTGCCGCCTGAGAATCCATTTATCAGGACACCAATTTAACCAATCGAAAACTAGTGTCGCTGCAAACGATAAAAGCCATAGTTATAAGAGTAATGCAATTGTAAAATCAGTTAAAATTTGTGAATCTAATTATAAAGACTTTACCAATAAAACTCCTTGTACATTAAAATAAAAAATTTTTTTTTAATATTTCTCAAAGAAAAAAATATAATTTGCGCAACCGGTATGATACAAGTAATATCCTCGCGATTGACTACCTAAAAAGAACTTAAACAAGAAAGAAAGCAAACTTCGGTAAGCCGAAGTTCATACACCCTTGCAGCTTTTGCAAGAATTAAACATTTTAGAAAACATTAAAATTATAATTTACTGGCGTATATGTTGAAAAACATTGGAGCTATGATGATTTGCATCTCAATTATTAGAGCTATATGGTATAGTCGTCCAATTTTGATGAAATTTATAAAAAAAATTAAAAAATAGTAAAGTTATGATTTTGTTCTATTTATTTTTCGATTATTCCTATGGGAGCTATATGATATAGTCGTCCGATGATGATGAAATTTAAGCCGTAATTCTGAAATAGTTAACCATTACTCTCGAAGAACTAAAAAAAATTAAAAAACAGCAAAGTAATAATTTTTTTAATTTTATTTTTCCGATTGTTCCTATGGGAGCTATATGCCATAGTCCTCCGATCCGGCCGAAAGATAAATTTTGGGAAAGTCTCATGCAGAAAGCTTTAAAACTGAGAGACTAGTTTGCGTAGAAACGGACGGACAGACGGACATGGCTAGATCGACTCCTAGTGATGCTGATCCAGAATATATATACTTTATAGGGTCGGAAACGTATCCTTCACTGCGTTGCAAACTTCTGCAAGGATATATTTTGTGAAAAAACCTTAGTCAAATCTCAAATGAGGATTTCTAATGTTTTATTCAGCAAAAATTATCTAATAACTGATATATTTCGTTTAAACATATATTTAAATTTTTTTAATATAAATTAAAGTGTAAAAATGGAACTGCCATCAACATCAGCCGCAGCCGCAAAAGCAACACAAACTCTTACAGAGCCCAACATCAAATTATACAAGCAGCCATACGAAACCTTCTAATAGGACGAGCACGAACATTGTTGATGAGAAATGTACCACAGGTACATTGATGGAAGGAATTAAGGAGATTACTAATCAGCGAATAAAACAGCGCAACACCTCCACATCGAATGATTATGAAATTACGTGACACTAAATATAAAAATAATTTACGTAGATTTGTTAAGGAACTAGAAGAACAAACAAGTAGAATGTTGTAAACTCAGCTTAGATAGCAATCCATCAAACACGGTTTACAAAAGAATAATCACAAATTTAATATCGTTCCAATTAATATTTTCGAAGTTACACTCAAATTTTTTAAGACGTTTCAGAGGGCTTGCAAGTACAAGTAAAATCTTTAGAAGCGTTTTTAAAGTCGATAACCAAGACTACTCGAAAACGGCTGAACCGATTAGTCTCAATTTTTAACACGATATTTGTATATTTATTTTTTAGTAATTAATCACAGATTTTTTGCGATAAATATTTTTTATAAGCAATTCAAGACCGAAATTTTGCTCAAAAATCTATTTTTTTGTTAGAAAAACAGTGAAAAAAAATTTTCAAAATTTTATTTTGCTTGTTTCTTCACATAATTACTAGATTTCACTATACTTTAATCTCTTTGATTTTTAAATTTTGGAGAATCCACTCGAAAGATTTATAGTCACTGCAAAACGCTTTTTTTGAGAAGTGCTCACGGAAATTAGCTGTAGCTCCTTTCCAAAAATATATTTGTACCAATACTTTGTCTTAAAACATAATATGTAATTTAATTTATTAGTTTTCTTAGAAAAAATTTTCAAAAATTATTTTTCCTTCGGCATTTTATATACAGTTAAACAGTAATTATTTAAGGGACGATCACTTAAATTATGAAGAAGCAGTAAAGAAAGCAAATTTCGGCAAGCCGAAGCTATTATACCCTTGCAGCTATTGCATAAATTACATATTTTTTTAAACATCTAAATCTAAAACATTTTAAGCATATGAGTATATGCTTAAAACATTAAAGCTAAGATGATTTTCACCTCAATTATTCGATCGTAAATAATACTGAATAATATTAAATGCGTAAATCTACACTATTAAGCCTATGTCCAAAAGAATTAAAAAAAAATTTAAAATTAGAGAAGATACTATTTGTTGCATTTATTTTTTAACATTCCGACTGTTTTTATATGATATGGTCGTCCGATTATTTTAAAACTGAGAGATTAGCTTGCGTAGAAACGGACGGACGGACGGACGGACAGACGGACATGGATAGATCGACTCTCATAGTGATGCTGAGAATATTAAGGTCAGTTTGTAATAGCCTGTTTCCATTGCCGCATTAGTGGACTTTTTTAATGTGCGCATTAGCATTTAGCTAATGCTACTCCGACATGTGAGTTGCGCGAACAGCTTATCTGGGTTTGTTTACTTTTGAATTTTCGCAAACCAAAAAGAAATTAATTAAAACTCATGAACATTAGCGTGTTTACGAATATCTTTAATGCCCAACAGGACATCCATAATGCGACCGAGGCATTGCCACTTGGACGACAAGAAAAGGGAGCTGATGGTGTTGTTTGACGGGTATGCAAAGGAGAGCACTACAGTTTCTAAAAAAGAGCAAGGATCCTCGTATATGTAAGAGTAATGTATTGTTATTTCCTGCAAGAGATCCAGCAGTAATGTATTGTGGTGCTTCGAACAGGATTTGTTGCGTGTGCTTTTATTTTCAGTCGTTTTTATGCAAAGTAGTTTTTAAATTCGAAAGAAATCGAAATTGCGCCATCCTTGC